CTGGAAATGAGGATGCATGAATACAAACACCACTTGTGGTTGCTGGTTATAAACCACTTGTTTTGTTTCACAGCCAGATTATAACCCTTTCTATTGCGAAATTGAACTTGTTGGTTATAATGGACAAGTCAAAGAATAATTAGAAGAGAAATAAAGTCTCTAAAATTCGAATCTTTCAGCTCCCTACACAAAATTTCTTACCAGCTTCAAAATGTTCAAGTATTAGTTCGATATAAGAGAACCGGATCAACCCGGAAGACAAGTTAGCGTTATCGATTCAATTGGATTTCGCTCTGTACGACGTAGTTTTGGAGTTATCAAAAGAGAGCCCTGAATTCCCAAGCGAGTTCCTAGAGTTAGCAAAAATGGTTTGTAATAAGCTATGGTGAAATTTTGATAATTCAAAGACCTAATGGGATTTGTAATAAGTTTCTGTTTATTTTTTTCAAATGAGAGAAGTTGTGTGCATATTAATGTAATTATTTTTCTTTTTAACATTTTTTATCAGGAGAATCCACAACATGGTCATCATCCTGTCTATTAATCTAATTTATGATATCATCTGTGTTGGTTAGTTTACAAAAATTTAAGATCAACATCGAGTATCCATGTAAATTGATTTAGAATTTTGTTATACTAAAACTATGGTCTCTCTACAAATCATCATTAATCGTTATCTCAACAAATTGAGTCAAATTACAAAACGGACATTCAAAAGTCTACATGCAAACGGTATGTTTGAGTGGTTTGTGTCTTAAAAATTAGAGGAAATTTGAAAAAATACTTTTTTTGGCTTTTTAAATTTGAAAAATACCTTTCTTTTATTTTTTATTTTTGAAAAATACATTTTATTAAATATGAAATTACAAAAATATCCTAAAAAAATATGCACAACTAATAAATTACATATTTAAAATTGAATTAATTTGTTGTGAGAAATTAATATATATAGCCTATATTTTAGGGCGATCATATCTTTTTCAAAAAAAATTGTACATTTTACTCTATTGTACACGTAAATCATGCAAGTATCACATCAATCCCAAAAACAATATAGTTATGCTGAAATAAATTAGTCACATTTCAGACGATACTATAACATCTATTCTTGTTTTTTTATTTATTATAAACAAAAAAACTACACTCATTTTTAAGATAACTTAACAAGAAAGTGYTTCACTATGTTGTTAAATAACAGAGCACGATTACATTAGCTATTCAACACGAAAAAATCAAATCTCTATCCTTCAATTCTAACTGTTTGTTTTTGTATAACAAATCTTTTTTTTTTGAGATTTTGTATGCCAGATCTTTAAGAGTAATCTACAAAATCGATGAATC